CGCTTCTCGGACTCCTCACTTCTCTTCTGGATCTTGGTGACGGGGTCGTTAAGCTCCTTGTACTTCTTCTTGAGCTCATCGCGGGACGCGTCGGCGCCCTCCTCGTACAGCCAGTCACTTGCCTCGCTGTTCTTCTTCTCCAAAGTGGCACGCTCCTCGGCGGTGGAGGCTGCGATGAAGGAATCGCTCTCGAGGAGATCGCGGACCTTGTAGGTGAAACCCTCGAGCTGGTTGAGAGCCTCCTCTCTCAGGCGGCGGGCCTTGTCTGAAGTCTCAAAGGCCTTGAGGCGGTCCTTCGACTTGACAAGCTCCTCACGGGAAAGCTCAGGCAGACCGGCCTTCTCAAGGGTGAATTCGACGTTGATGGTGACGAGCTCCTTCTTCTTGGGGGCGGGCTCCTTGCCATCGGCCGCTGCGTCACTGGGAACGGGCGACGAGGAGGCGGTGGTAGACTCCGTCTTAGTCGAGGCAGTGGTAGAGGACTCAGATCCCGTGGTTGAAGACTCTTCGTCCTCCTCTCCATCAAGAGGCTTCTGGTCTCCCTTCTTGCTGCCAAAGCCGAACAGGTTCTTGACGCCGTCGACAAAGCCCTCCTTCTCGGGGGCCTCGGCCTCGCACTCAACGGTAGCTTTGGTGACCTCAACCTCGCCGCTCTCACTGCTCAGCTTGACGCCGACCTTGAAGTGAATATCGCTGTCAACGCAGGAGTACTTCTCCTTCAGCTCCGCGACCGAGACGGTAAGGTTCTTGGTAGAGAAAACCTTGACATCCTTCTCGGCAGCCTCAACGTACTGGTAGAAAGTGACATCAAAGTCCTCGTGGTTGGTAAAGGTGACGTCCTTGGGAACGCCGCCCTGAGGGGAGACGGGAGACCACAGGCGCTGGTGCTGGAGCTTGTTCTTGTTGTTGGTCCACTTCATGCCAGAGGCGTAGTTGGCGCCCTCGGAAATGCGAATCTCCTTAACACGGAAGCTAGGGCTCAACTCGGCAGCGCGGAAACCGGCACCGAATACGGCGGCCTCGTCAGAGTTGACGTTGCTGCGAAGCTTCTCGGCGGAACCAACGGCTTGCTCCAGCTGCTTCTGAACAAAGGGTGTTCGGGAAGCGCCGCCGTGGAGAATGACAGAGGTCAGGTCAGAGAGCTCCAGCTGAGCAGCCGTCAGAGCTCTCATGAGAACGGCTTCAGCACGAAAGGCGTGTGTCTCGGCCATCTTCTCGAAATCAGACCGGGTGAGCTTGTACTTGAAGTCGACATCCTCGTAGAGCCCCTCGAAGCTCGCGCCGGCCTGCTGGTTGGCGCTGAGAACATGGCGCAAACGCTCCGCCTCCTTGGTCAGCTTCGCGATGGCGCGGCCATGGGCCTTGACCTTGTCGGCATCGGCAGAGATCTTCTTTCCACCCTTGGACTCGACAAATTGGGCGACCATGTCGTCGACAATGAGGTAGTTGAGTGTGTCACCGCCCAGAGTCCTGTCCCAGCCAGTGCCGATGACGGAAACCTCCTGGATGGTCTTGTTGAACTTGCCAACATCCTTGACCGTACGGCCCTGGAACTTCATGACAGTGGCCTTGGCGGAACCGGCACCCATGTCGAAGACCAGGTGGTACTCAGGCTTGCCTCCCTCGTTGATGTTGGGGAACTGGCGGGAAGTGGCGTAGTTGAGGCCAACGGCGAGACCGTCGCTGATGAGACTGAGGACCTTGAGACCAGAGAGATCAGCGGCGGCTTGGATGGCGCGCTTCTCCTCGGTTGTGAAGTAAGGAGGGACCGTCAGGACCATGGAGCGGACAGAGGTACCAGCTCCAGCAGCAGCCTCGGCGTTCTTCTGGATGCTCTGCAGCTCCATGGCCAAGAGCTCCTCAACCAGCCATGCCTCCTCTTCCTCGGTAAAGACCTTGCTCTTGAAAGCAGCGGTTCCTCGCGCCTCGTTCTTCTCGAGCTGCAGGGCTGGGTGCCGGGCAGCGTATTGTTGGACAATCGGGTCGTCGACGGAGAGACCGAGGAGGGTCTTCAGGTTGGGGTAGACATCGTGAGGAAAGCGGGCGGAGAGGGCAATGGCGTCGGAGCCGTAGAGTCTCTCGGGGTAGGATCCGGACTTGGGGCCGCTCTGGAGAGGCTTGAAGGTGACGGCGGAGATTTCCTTGCGCCGCGAGTCCTTGGTCAGGACAATGTCGAGAGGAATACCGGGCTTGACGAGGGCAGCTTTGATGTACTCGGTACCGAGATCAACGCCAAGGACGGCGGAGACGGCAAAGACGTGTGCGGAAAAGAAGAAGACGCAGCCAAGGACTACTGTCAATGGCGAGAATGTTCGTTGCGCCATCGTGTATGGTTTGCGCCCAATGGCGCTGTGGAGGGTCGTCTAGGCAGGTTCGTGTGGGAGTGACAGAGGTCGAAACTAACACGGATTGTTAGACAAGTCCCAGTATGAGACTCGAGACGCAGGAGTATTGTAAATCTAGAGAGCGAGGAAAACCCAAAGACAAAAGAGGAGAGTTCAAAAAAAGAAGGAGAAGTTCCTCGAGACAATGGCGACCCAGGAGCACAAATATGAACAACGGAGCGTCGTCAAATGGAGATTCGTGAAGGTGTCCTCTATTGGGTTCGGTACCATTCTCCCCCCCAGACTGGGTCCAGGTCGTCCTCGGGCAGGGTACCTTCTAGTGGATTACCTGTCCTGGCGAAGAGGACAGCTGTAAGAAAAAAAAGTTGTGGCGCCTTCCCCCCAAATGCAAGGCTGACCACACGATAAGCTTTCCATTGGTGCGATAAGAATAAGCACTGGGATTTGTGGCAGTTGTCCCGAGAATAGTGGGGCTTGAGATCCACTCGGTGCTCTCAAGCCACATTAAAGGGGCCAACGCCCAGCTTCCCATCTTCAATTCCTGTTTGACCAAGCAACTCATGGACACTCTTTTGGACTGGGGATTACCTAAAGGTTACGTGGATTATGACACCATCACGGAGCGGTCAGTCACCGCAGATCCAACGTGTTAGTATCGGCCTGTTGTGGACAAGTGTCCCCCAGCAGCTCATACTGTCTTATCCCATTGCCAAAAGGACAGTCTTACATCGGAGTTGTTTGTAGGATGGGGCACCTGCACAAGAGACAAGGCAGACTTTCTTAGCAACAAGACAGTTGCTCAAATTCCATGAGGAATATGAGACAGCCAGCCCATTTCGAGTCGACCAGGCATACTACTTCCGATGTGAAAGGGCCTGGCTGACAGGTAGAATGCTGGGCCTCCATCTGAATGTTTCAGTCTGGAATCACATACTAAAGTGAGAATCTGAAGTTCAATTCTCATATGAAAGACGGTGCACACTTGTAACTAATTACGGCTACTTACTCCCACCAAACACCCTCCTCGATATCATCCGAAATCGGAAACACAAGCTCTTTGAGTTCCCTTTGCCGTTCACATCATTAGAGATCGCGGGGTAATAAAGCTACAGTGGGGCAACTGATGGCGGGGTACTATCCAGCTTCCCTTGCATAACCTCCCAGCTGCAACCACACCAACCAACAAGAAACAAGAACTGCCATCAGCATATCACGGTGGAATACCTCGGGGATTTTACCCCTTAGGAGGCTTCGACTTCAATAGTCGCTCAAGTGGAGGCCAATCGGTCACCATGGCTCATGTGGATAATGAAGTCAGAGGCAGACTGGCGTTGGTCACGGGTGCCTCTGGTGGGTGAGTTGAGGCGACAACCTCCTTCAGCGAGTTCGTACCTGACAACCTCAGAATCGGAGGAGCCTGCGCTCGAGAGCTCTTCAAAAATGGCGCGCGTCTAGCCCTGACATGTTCATCCGAGAAGACCTTGGGCAAAATTACAGACCTCGCTACTAAGCTTCGGAACTCAACAGGCGACGACACTGACGTTACATGCCATGTAGTGGACATGTCTTCCGCCACGGACATCGAAAAACTCTTTCAGAATATCATGGATGAACACGGCCACACCCCCGATATACTTGTATCCAACGCCGGCACGGCAGGATTCAACAACAAAGCCAACCCCTACCTGGAAAACATTTCCCTCGCAGAGTTCGACTTCACCATCAACATCAACCTCCGCGCCTCCTTCTTGCTGTGCAAGCTCGCCATGCCGCACATGATCTCCCAGGGCTGGGGCCGCATCGTCTTTGTGTCGTCCATCTCGGCTATTGGAGGTGGCATCAACGGCTGTCACTACGCCGCGAGCAAGGCCGGCATGACGGGCCTCATGAAGAACCTCGCGTCCAAGCATGCCAAGGACGGTGTCACGCTCAACGACGTCGCGCCGGCTATGATTGGCGACACGGGAATGATTCCCGATGAGAAGCGCGTGGAGGGCACGCCTGGTGATGTGAAGAATATTCCTGTCGGACGGCTTGGGACGCCGCAGGAGTGTGCTAATGTTGTGTTGATGCTGTGTAAGACTGGATATTTGACTGGCCAGAGCATCTTATTGAGTGGTGGGCTGAAGTGAAATCTTGACATCCTTTTTCTCTCTTATACTTCCGTGGATATTGGTTGTTTGTAGTACTATTGGTACAGCTATAATGAAAGTGGCCCTGAAATATGATATCCAAGTCAACCGCGCAGTTATGGACAAGAGGGGCATCACACTCTATGACGTTCACTGCCGCCAGGGATAAAGCTCATCTCATGCATATCTTCAAGGTGCGAAAATCATCTCTGCGATGAAAACACTCTACATCTTCAAATTTTTGCGGTTTTGTGATTACTCTCCCCGAATTCGACCGTACTTTGCGTCGGAAGGGTTTCTGCGGGGTTGTTGTCAGCTGCCAGGCCGCGGCGTAATTCCCGATGGATGATTACATATGATCTTCATCAGTGTCAAACGAAACAGACCCAAAATCGTTATCCCATTCCCCCAAAACATCCTCTCCGTGAAGTTTTCTAACTAGCGTAACCCCTCAACCAAGAAGAGAACATAGCTCTAGTAAGACGTGATTGTATCCAGCAACATTTGACGGGACTTAAACACAATGCCTCTCTACGAGGTATCTCACGCCACCCCTCTAAGCCAAGGCCAGAGGGATCAGCTCGCCGAGTCCATCACCGCAATACACAGCACCAAGTTCACCGTCCCGAGAATGTTCATCAACGTCATCTTCACAGACTCATCAAACACCCCAACCTACGTCGGCGGGAAACAAGTGAGACCCCATTCTTCCGTATGTAGACAATCACATCTACTAATCCTCAAATCGCAAACCCCAGCGCAAATCAAACCGCATCGTCGGGCGCGTCCGCCGGGGATCCTCCCGGACGCAGGAGGACTTCAGCTCGTTATGCTACGAGATCCGAGCCGCGTGGGCTCAAATCGTGCACCCGGAGACGGCAGATGAGGGAGGCAAGCTGCCGCCTCAGGATCTGGAACTGAGGTCGGTCTTTATTACCGGGGAGCTCATCGCCGGGTTGAAAGCCAGTTTCAGGACACCATCGGCTGGCGATGAGCTTGCGTGGGCTGAGGAGAATTACGCAGCGTTCAAGGAGAGGGCAGAGGCGGGAGATGAGGATTTTGCGGATCTTGTTGCTGAGATTCAAAGTTGGCCAGAGTTTGAGTTTTGAAAATATTTAGTTTGATCTTATTGACGGCATGTAGGAGGAGCTCATAAAACTACACCATCACTCGTAATATGCATTCTGCTTTCACATGACATATCTAGCCGAGTCAGTCGAATTTGATAAAAGCCAGTCGCCATACCACAGAACCCATCTTTTCTACAGCCATGTAAGCATATCCTCGTTTTGGATGACAAAAGTTGGATCTCTGCTGGGGGTCTGGCCTGAGATTCTGTGAATAGGATGGCATCTCTCGCAGACCGAAACAGGTAGGCTCCTTTGGCCACCATGGGCCTACCGACGCCTCTAGACGCTTATTCCATGGTGAATCATATCCAAATTGAGACCGTCAGGGTGTACTCATGCTTCGATTCACTGCCGCCTTCGCCCATCGCAGAGAACTATAGTTGCTCCCTGCCACGCTAATCACCTCAAGTCCCTCTATCTCCAAAAGAACCGACTCGAACTTCTCAATGGCGCGTCTGGTAAGAAAGATCCTTCAGCCTGTGATATCCTGTTGATTTATATAGTTAACCACAACGGAGCAGGACTATAGTCTAGAGGTACTAGCTAGCTACCTAGTCCTCTCAAATATGGAGAGCATAGAATCAATAGTCATATTAAAGATATTCTCTTTAATGAACGCCCCTTTGCACCTCAAAGAAGCTACGTATATGGGATGTTGAGTTGCTAGTAATGAGAGTAGGAGTACTTGATGTTTGTTTGGTAGTCTTATTGTAGGCCGTTAAGAGCACTACTACCTGGGGAAATATCTAATTCTGTAAAGCACCACGCCGTCACTTCTCCGCTAAGAAAGACACGGTAAATCAAATACGCACTTACACAGCCGCGGTGTCTTTCCCACGTTCTAACCTCAGACCCATAGGCTGACCACTTCCTCCAGACAACCGTACCCGGAGGGCAGGCACGGCGAAGCCAACCGTACCTGCCCCAAACCTTCATCCCATAATCTTCCATTCCCGCCCGCCCGACCAGAATACGCACCAGGCAGGCAGAAGCCCTTCATATACCCCTCCAAGTCCATTCCAGTCACCAGCCAGCAGGCGCCCGTCTAGGTCGACGGGTCAGGTCAAACTGGCTGGGTGGTGGAGTGGTTTAGGGTCGACAATCAAAATCGCCAACCAGCCTACTCGACGACAGGCTAAGCGCATACGAGTACCCGAGTTCGAGTCCCGGATTGAGCACCCAGAAAAATTCCCAGCATGAGCGCCAGAGATGTAGCCCCCAGTTCAGCACCGGGGGGGTGAACTCTTTTGCTATTTCTGTGTTTTAGTCGTTTGTATAAGGGGGGCCGGCTGTTCTCCCTTCTACCTACGTAAATATATATATATCTATTACATCTCTACTCGCTGGAGGTGACGTTGTATATTATCTCCCCAGACGTCTTTTTTTATATACAAGTGGATTATTTCGACTAGATAATTATAGATGGGACACCTCTCTGCCCCACACACACTTAGTCACTTGCGTGATTTGTATAAAGTCATTGAATGATGTAAGATTGGTATCATTGGATTAACTATTTCTCTTTCTCTCGGTCTCGCACCGTACACGATCGTCGGGTCTATCAGGCGTGTGGATATCTTTTGGTTTTGATGGTAAAATTTATCGTACAGGGGGTGGTTATGTCGTATCTCTCGATCGGTCCAAGGAAAATAAGGGCAAGAGTACAGGTCGGATCTCGATCGGTTCGGGTCATTCGTAACATTGAAGGGTAGAAGAAAATAAAAAAGCCAACACACGCTCAGATAGACAAACAGGGCTGGATGCCCCTCACACCGAAGGGGCACCCAATGCAAATTGAGAGGCTCACCGGGGAAGGTCCTGGTGGTCAGGACCTACCCCGGGTTCTTCTCAAATCTCTCAGTCTTTGCGACTCTCCTCCTGATCGCGTTCTCCATCTGTGTTCCGGCTGTCGTGCGACACCGGTCGCTCAACAGGCGACAAGCCTCCAACACTAGCCGCCAAGATACCGGGCATGCCCAGGGCGGCCTTCATCGGCGACGCGCTATGTCTGCTCGACGATCTGGACCCGCTTCGGCTGCGTGTTCTCTCACGGTACTCGCGGGGCTTCATGATAACTTCGCTAATCTGGCTGATTCTTCCTCCCTTGATGCGCTTGAGGAAGGCGAGATCGTCTCTGATCTCGAGCAGGGCATCCTTGACGCCGCCGGCGCCTAGGTGCTCGCTGTCCTCCTCGTCCGTCTTCTTCTTGCGCTTCCACTTGGGGATCTTGGACCACACCCACGCAAGGGGACTGACGATGGCGACGAACCACGAGTCGGGGAGGAGGCGGATAAGGACACCGACGGGGATGGAGATGATGCCAAGGACGATGGAGATGCCCCATTGCGGTCCATTGAGCTTCTCGACCTTGAACGCGGCGCCGCCGACGAACACGATAAGGACCTGGCCGCCGGCCATGATGGACATCATGAGAGCGAAGAGCTTGTTCTTGGTAATGCCCTCGAAAATGTTGAGGTTATTGTCGATGCGTCTGGAGTTGATCAGCTTGAAGATTTGCATAAAGACGAAGACGTTGAAGACGAGCGTCTTTTGCTGGCCAGTAGGGTAGTTGAGGAAGCTGGGGCCGACAAAGTGGAGGATCAGGGTGACGATGAGCTGGTAGATGGACTGGCCGATAATCATCTTCCACATGGGCGTGTTGATCAACGCGGCGGTCTTAGCCTCGGGCTTGCGGTGGAGCATGCTCTCGGTAGGAGGATCGGTAGCGAGGGCGAGGGCGGCGAAGGTATCCATGATGAGGTTAACCCAGAGAAGCTGGACGGCGTTCAGAACGGGCTCTTGGGTCTCGCTACCCACAGCGGTGACAAAGGTGAGAACGACAGCAGTGATGTTGACTGTGATCTGGAACTGCAAGAACTTCTTGACAGCATCGTTGATGGCGCGGCCCCAAGCCATGGCCTTGACGATTGACGAGAAGTTATCGTCCATCAAGATGATATCGGAGGCTTCCTTGGCGACTTCAGTTCCGGTGATGCCCATGGAGAACCCAACATCCGCAGACTTCAACGCAGGCGCATCGTTCGTGCCGTCGCCAGTGACGGCAACAACCTCGCCCAAACTTCGCAAAGCCTTGACCAGAATTCTCTTGTCTTCGGGGCTAGATCGTGCCAGAACACACAGATCTCGAACAATGTTGACACGCTCACGATCGTCCATGCGGCGGAACTCGATTCCCTCCATAACCTTGCCCTTCTCTGTCAGAATGCCGCAGTCCTTGGCGATGGCTTTCGCCGTCTCGACATTGTCACCGGTGACCATCTTGACGGAGACAGAGGCGGTCCGGCAGTCCTCCACGGCCTTCGGAACGCCAGCACGGACGGGATCCTGGATACCTACAACACCGAGCCACGTCAGGTTCTTGAAGATACTGGAGAACTCGATGTTCTGGGAGCCTTCCTCCTTGCGAGCGTTCTCGGGAGGCCACTGCTCGAAGTCGCGGTAGCCAAGGGCAATCGTGCGGAGGGAGCGACGGGCGTAGTCGGTAATGATTTGACGGATGTGCTCCTGCTGATCCGATGCCATTGAGGCAGTCGTAGGGGACTTCGTAGGGTCGGAGACGGCGCTGGTGCATTGTCCCAAAAGGATCTCAGGGGCGCCCTTGACGAAGAAACGGAACTTGTTGTTCGGGAGGCGCACAACGGCACCCATGGCCTTTCGCTTCGAGTTGAATGGGAAGAGCTGCTGAACAGGGCAGTTTTCGCGTTCGATGGCAATTTGCTGAAGGGCAAAGCATCGGCGAGCCCAGTCGAGCAGGGCGGTCTCGGTTTTCGTGCCTACAAATACCTGCTTTCCGTTCTCCTCCGTTTCGAAAGCAGTCGTGTTCATCGCAACGGACTGCTTGACAAGATCTCTGAAGTCCGCGTCGATTGCGGATGAAAGCTTGGACATTGGTACTTCGGTGGAAGCTTGGGACTTCTTGTCATCTCCAGTAACATGTACGTCCGACTCCCCATCCTCCTGGCCGGTCTCGGTTGATTGATCGTCAGAGGCAACGAAGCGGAACTTGCCAGTACCCAAAGTGCCGGCGACGACAGTCATGACATTCTCCGTCAGGGTACCAGTCTTGTCAGAACAGATGACAGTCGCATTACCCATCGTTTCGCAGGACTGCAGGTGACGGACGAGGTTGTTCTCCTTGGTCATCCGCTTTGTAGCGTAGGCGAGGGCAAGAGTGACGGCCAGGGGCAAACCTTCAGGCACTGCAACGACGATGATGGTGATGGATGTAATGAGAATCTGCAGGAAGCGTTGGCCCTTCTCCTCGGGTGAGTCTCTATTGTTAGGAAGATGAGCCAGGAATTCGATCGTCAAGACACCAAGAAGGAGAAGACCGGCACCACTGCCGAGCTTCGCAATGTAACCTGAAAGTGTTGTTAGCACACTGGCCAGCAAGATCAGAGGATTAACTTACCCGCAAGAATGTTCAGCTTGAGCTGGAGAGGAGTCATTCCAGGATCGTCACGGAGGGACATCATGGTCTTGCCATGGCTTGAGTTCTGACCGACAGCAGTGACCAAAAACGTTCCAACGCCATCCAGAACTCTCGCTCCAGATATAATGAAAGGGTCAAGCTTCTTGGGGTTCACTTCCTCCTCGTGCAGCGCCCTCATGACGGCGTCTGCCGGTACCTTCTTGATCAGATCAGACTCTCCAGTTGCAGACGATTCATCGCAGCTGACGTTGTGCCCATCGATGAAAATACCATCCACAGGGATGATGTCACCCTGCTCCAAAAGCATGACATCTCCAACGAGAATATCGTGAACCGAGAGGTTGGCGGGCTTTCCGGATCGAATCACCTTGACAATGCGGTCCTCCTTCTTCTGGTTGAGCTTCCGGAATTGCCGCTCCTTTTGCCAATCATTGAGTGAACCGACGACCACGACAATCGTGATGGCGACGATAATGGCAACACCTTCAACCCACTCGAGCTTGGCCGTGTCATCTCCGTGATGAGT